AAAATTATGAATATCCATTGTGTACATGACCCTACATACAACATCGTTAAGTGCTTCTTATTTTGTCAAGAAACAACACACAGAAAACTCAGATGATTTCTTTGCTATAAAAACAAAAGGTTATTATTTAAATGATTCAGTGAAATTAAAATACTGAGAAAGGGTTAATAAAAGAAGTGAACTTCACTGTCATGAGATAGTTAGCAGAAGTGTGGGAATGTTTACTTATAAAATTGGGGGAATGTTTACTTATAAAACTCTGTCCTATAGCCAGTAGCCTTACAACTAAATCCCCTTTTTAAAGGACTTTTCCATAAAAGTTACAATGAAGAGCAAGCAAATTTCATTTCGGAATAACGCAGAAAGATTACTCAATATTAGGTCAATAACTACAGCATTTAAAAGACATACATGTCTGTATAAATTTTAGGGTATCTACTTCTAAGGTGCATGTCTACTTTCATCAGCTTACTCAAACAAAATTTTGGCTCAGTTAAAAGCAGTGACTTCGATATTTTCTTTTGTTTGCCAAGTTTTACCAGCGGATGTTAGACACCTAAAAATTACATAATTATCAAAATCTTATTTGTCTGAGTCACGGGACTACCAAAAAAAAAAAAAAAAAAAAAAAAATCAAAGGAACTCTTTCTTAGTTATCTATATATATTTATTACCTTCAACTAATTATGCCATTGCTAAATTCCTCCCACCCCCAGTACTCAAGCGGATAAATCGAGCCTGTATTTCCGGCACATTTTTTCATTATCACCATCAGAATTAACACAAGCAATTTCTAAAGATTTCAGCATATTGGGGGATGGCAGGTATGAGAGAAAACAGATCTCCAATTAAGGGCTCTTATGTGTTATTACTGAAGTTATAAAATAATCCAATGGAGTATTTTGTAATGGAAGCAACAAAATTCTTCTTTAAATATTAAAATCCTTTTGTATCATTTAGTTACAGTGAAAAACATATTATTAAGCAGGTCAAAATCTGAAATTCATTTAATGTATATTTTTTTCTTTAGGCTTCCAAGAATGAAAACCACGTATAAACAATTCCAGGTTTGCTAAATGTTATACTGTTTGTTCACTGTTACTGCTTAGAAGAGTAAACTGCTATCCGGATGGAATGGTGGCTCAAACACAAGAAACAAAAATAATTCAGGTTTTTTGGCCTCTCTTCCAATTCTGTAATTATCCCCTACAACAAACACACACACAGACACACACAGACACACACAACTTTTCTCACCAAATAAAAGCAAATTTTAGTTGGAAACTAATGTGGACACTTTTCACATGTGCATAAAACACAGTTCAGTAAGGCTGAAATTGAACCTCAAAATAATCACTCCAAAACCATAGTTTAACTTACTTTACCACATCATCAGGTATCAAATTTCAGTTTGGATACCTGAAAATCAGTAATCTATCCATACTAAAAGGTCTGTAACACCCAAATTCTCTTGTTATATCAACTGTATGGTCTATACCCCCACATACACAAAAACACACATAGAAAACACCTTCCCACCTTTACAGGGCTCTACATTAACATTTGCTCTAATGTGGTGAGGCTTCAAAATATCTTTAAAAATCAAGCATTTCCAGATGACCTTTTAGCCTTATTCAATGCTAAGTCTGTGATTAATAATGCAGATTTCGAATAGGCGCACGCCTGTAATCCCATCACTTTGGGAGGCCGAGATGGGCAGATCACTTGAGGTCAGGAGTTCAAGACCAGCCTGGCCAACATGGCGAAATCCCATCTCTACTAAAAAATACAGTAACATTAGCCAAGTGTGGCTGTGGGTGCCTGTAATCCCAGCTACTTGGGAGGCTGAGGCAAGGGAATCACTTAAACCCAGGAGGAGGAGGTTGCAGTGAGCCAAGATCACTGCACTCCAGCTGTGGCATTTCCAATGATTAAACCTATCCTTAAGGTTAAATTTAATAGTTTATGGAGAAAATAAAACCAGTAAGATTTTCCTAGACGTGTAAGCAGAAAATCTGAAACATTTCATGCCTCCAAATCAAAAATATCAAATTTCGTCAATTTACTGAAGTTCAATATAGTAACCCAAGCTTTACTGAAGCTGTTTATTATGTAACACAAAGCAAATTACATAAAATTGCATATTAAATACTTAATGTTTATTAACACCACAGTCAAACGTGAATATTAATATAGAGCCTTCTCTGCCAAAAGAGTATAAAAATCCTAAGTTTAATTAAATTTAGGGGCCTTCACCAAACTTGCTGCAAGTTTGGGGACATAAATATCCAACAGCCATAAAGCTGTGAAAGCCCCTATAAGGAATAAAATAAATCCCACTTGCCTCAGACTGAACAGGGCAACACTGAGACTCAGCCTCAGCCTGTCCTATGGCAGGGCTATAGGAAGAAGAAAATTTTAATTTTAGAAAAACAGTTCCCAATTAATTTAAAAGACATGCATTAATTTTTTTTTTTTTAAATCCCAATGATCAAGCAAGCAAAAGGAGCAGCTTTGTTTTTTACTGTTCAGTACAATTCCATTCTGAGTTCGTACTTATTTTTGTTGGGGAATCCCCTTCCCCAATTAACTAAGTTTAATTAAGATGAGTCTAAGTTGAAAATATGTAACTTAGTGGAATAGAGTACGGTAGGAATATTTTATTCATACCTAATGGCAAATATGTGAGACACTACTAAAATACTAAGTATTCAAATCCAATAATTCCAGCAGCCACTTAAAAGTTAATCCGCACCTGCTGTGGTCTTAACTGCTACACAGTATGAAAACTTACACAATAGAAACTAGTGCCAGACAAAATGTTCTCTTGTTTTTCTAAAAGGGGTGGATGTAAGGTAGAGCCAAAGCTGCCAGCCCTACTAACCTTACAACTTCCTTAATTATGGCAATCACAATGCCTGCCTGAATTATCAAGTCCCAAAAGTTGTCTTCAGTGAGGGCAGTTGGCATTCACTTTGACTCAACTTCATCTATTGCTTAAGGAAGGTTGAGTTAAAAGTTAATTATATGAACGTAATTTGCTCTACTCATGATTCAACCACACTATGGACCCCAGAAGCATTTAGATAAAAGCTTTCTAGAAGCTTAATTATGCTTGGATGCATGCAAAAATTACACTTCAAATATATTAAATGGGTACACCACCTATGAGTCTATAGCTACAAACGCAGGAACTCATGAGCTTAAGTTTTATGTGCCAAAGCCTAACACTTTCGATTAATTTTTAATTAGAATTCTACCCCATATTTAAAGTTCTATTTTTGCCCATCAGACCTATACAGAGAGCAAAAAACATTGCTATAAAGTATCAACCTTCTTTGCATAAAGTGCAAATAAAGCTTCACATATATTTCTGAAACAGGTCTACTAACCCTTTTGCAGTTTGCCCACAACCCTGTACGTAAAATTCTTGAGAATTTGGGAGAGCATCCCCTACTTAATCACACCATTTTTATCTTAAAGATTTTCAACATAATTTTTCTTCGGCAGTATATTGAGTGTGCTGCCAAATCAAAGAAGTGTGTACTAACTTTGAAACTATTTAGGTAGACAGAGGTTCAGAGGAGAAAGTGGTTTGGGACTTGGCAATTGGCAGAGGGAAGAAATATATTCTTGGCGAAATACGGACATTTTATTTTCAAGCTATGAAAAATTTTGTACTGCTATGGTACCACAAAGCACAGGAGCTGTAAAATCATTGAAGCCAAATAATCAGATTATTTATTTTTTCACAGAGTCTCGCTCTGTTGCCCAGGCTGAAGTAAACACGGCTCACTGCAGCCTCAACTCCTGTGCTCAAGTGATCCTCGCCTCCCTCAGCCTTTCAACTAGCCGGGACCACAGACCCACAGTAACACGCCTGGCTTTTTAAATGTTTTGTAGAGTTTTGCCATGTTGGTCAGGCTGTACTTGCAATCCTATCTCAGCCTTCCAGAGGGCTGGGATTAGAGGTATGAGCCACCACGCCCAGCCAATATGGGGTAGAACAGCATTAGCTTTGTAATATTTGCAATGTCTTGCTTAAACGGATGACTTTTACCTGTCACATAAATATGAACACTTCTGTGATGGCTAAATCACTTTTCAATATATTTTCCTTCAAAGTTAAAGCCCTTTTTTTCTTACAACGTCAGAGTTCATGTCTTTTATCTATATCTCCACAGGAAAGTTACAAAGAAATGTTACCATTTGCTTAGCAATCTTAGCTTTATAATGAGAAAAATTCAACTTGAGTTCATTATATTAATATTTTACACAGGTTGATACCTAAATAGTCAGAAAACTACCCTGAAAAAGTAAAGATCAGAAAAACAGATCCCAAAAAGGTCAACAAGAGCTAGTTCCAACACCAAACATTGAAAAGTAGTCATCTCTACAGAAAAGCTCTCTGTAAGAACACAACATTCAAAATTTCCAAGGATAAAAAGTTGCACAGTAAGGCTACCTAGGCTTAATGACAGAAGGTACTCGAATGAATAATGTAATCTTCCAGGATCATAATAAAGTTAAAAACTGCCAATCCATCTGTTAACCATCCCAACAGAGACACATTCAGATTCTCAGCATTATACTTAGAATAATTTATACCAACCCATTAGCAGCACAAGAAGCTATTACTGCATGCACCTAAGCTTCTAGAAGTTTGCACCTGAAAAGCTTCTGAGGTCCATGCAGTACTGAAGTCTCAAAAATAATCAAAAGAAAATGAATGGGTCTGGCACTAGGCTCTAAACATCTTAGCAGGAAGGAAAAAGTGTTAACATTTACATTTTAAGTATCTATGACACCTGATGTGTACTGACACCAAAGAGGGTGGAAAGGTGATTATAAAGATTTTCATATCCATTATGTAATGACTCATATATCTATGTTTTTCTGTTAACTGAAGCATTAACATACAACTCTACATACACTATTCAGTTTAAAACATGCAGCTAAGAACCTAGAACTCAAAGACAGAATCCAATGATATATCAAAATTGCATTGGAACTATGTATTTTATTATGTGGACATCTACTGTGGCATGCATCTGTACAAACCTTTCAGGCAGTGGTCCACAGCTGGGTTATGAATAAAAAGGCATAAATTTTTCTCTCATTTTATTACAATGAAGTTTAACAGTACAGAAAAGTCACATGACCTTGGTGGGTCAGATTTCTTAAACCCTGCAACATGAGGAACTCTAAATACATTAAATATTGTTACACATTCAGACTTCCAATGTACAAGTACTTGGAAACAGTTACAGCCCTCACCAAGCTAGGTTGGGGACATGAAGTCCAACAGCATCTGAAATGCTGTGAAGGCATAACTTTACAAATAGCAATGTAAGCTTACAGAACTTGCCTTTAATAAGGTGGTATGTTCATGTAATTCCAGCGCCTTCACAATTTAACGAACCAAATTTACTATACTTCACTTCTAAAAACCTAGATGAAACATGAAAAAGAAGCCATACAGTATAAATTGCAACTTCAGGAAAAATTCCTGCTTTATTATTCCAAATAATTTTTCCCATGTAAAATAAATGTCCAATAGTTCCTGGTATGTGGGAAGATAAATGTTTGTTAAAGTCACAATGAAGCCTTATTGACGGAAGCTTGGCTATATAAACAGCACAAGTTGAGAAAAGGTTTAATCTCCAAACCTATTAGACTGGATGAAGTAAGATCAGTAACGGCCACCTTGCGACATTACAGGAGGTCTCATTCCCATCGGAGGTCGAGGAGGCCCACCCTGGTAAGGGGGCACCATTGGCGGTCCCTGCCCATATGGGGGCATAGCACCAGGAAGGTATCCTGGCATGCCTTGATGATGACCACCATACTGACCTAAAAAACAACAATTTCAAACACAAAAAATAGATTGTTATGCACTGTACTTTTTAAATGCAATGTATATTCCAAATGAATTTAATATTTTATGCATTAGCTGAGAAAATCCACTAAATATGATAAACATAAAAAGAGGAATACCATGAGGTGGCATTGGGGGTCTCATTCCTTGTTGCTGTGGGATGCCTGGCTGTGGTGGCATCATACCTCCAATTGGTCCAACTGGTGGATTACCGATAGGGGCCTGTCCTGGCCGAGGAAGATTACGTTGATATTTAGGTAACTGTGCCCTTCTCTCTTCCTGGAAATAAAAATAAGCACAAGATTCAATACCTGAATGCAGAGCTGCATCAAACATAAAGGAATGCATCTAAAATCTTGTAATGTTAAGAGTAATTTTCAAACATTTACCCTTACTCCCCAACTATTTAGTTTTCCCAAACCAACCAATCCAACCGCTTAAACTCTATATACCTTAAAACTTCACCTATTTGTAAACTTGAAGCCTGACTAACAACTTTCCAGGAATTACAAATTGCTTCAACAAGAAACTATCTAATGAAGTATTGTTATTAACATTCCTTTTTTTCCTCCCCCGAGACAGAGTCTTGCTCTGTTGTACATTCTAGGGCACGATGATGCAATCTTGGCTCACTGTAACCTCCACCTCCCAGGCTCAAGTGATTTTCCTGCCTCAGCCTCCCTAGTAGCTGGCATTACAGGCGCCTACCACCATACCTGGCTAATTTTTGTATTTTTAGTAGAGATGGGGTTTTACCATGTTGGCCAGGCTGGTTTTGAACTCCTGACCTCAAGTGATCCACCTGTCTTGGCCTCCCCAAAGTGCTAGGATTATAGGTATGAGCCACCGTGCCCGGCCATTATCAACGTTCTAAATATTGACTTTATATTAAAAATTAATTCCTTTATATGGGACTTAGGGGATTTACAGATTCTACTTCACACTTAACAGTTCTTCAATTAATATATGCAAATTTGTGTTTAACTAAAATGATTTTCAAGAGAGTTAACAACCTGACTTACTGTCTTTTCAGAACAGTCTGGAGGAAGGGAAGAGAAAACATCTAAGACCAAAACATGCAATATCCATCCACTTTAAGTACTTTGTGATTTCTTAAGAATCAGAATGGCAAAAACCACTTAGTAAGCATTAAACCAGATCACAGACTATGTGAGTACAAAGTAACACTTTTCAAAGGGACAAATTGCTATTGGCTTTAAATCAAATGCTGCTAGGAGAAAACTGAAAAGAACTTACCAGGGATATATCCTCATCTGGATGGATCAACTTACTGGTTGCACTGGTTGTTGTAAGTGTAGCAGGCTTACTTGTTATTGAAGCTGCTGGTTTAGCTGCAGTACTATTTGTTGTACTAGTGGTTGAAGCTGTAGACTGTGTATAAGCAGGGAATGTAGGCTTTGGGGGTTCTGTAGTTGTTGCAGGGGTACTATTTAAGGGTTTGAAATCTGTACCAACAGGTCCCTGGACAGCTGCCTGAGCCTGTAAAATATAATACTTCATCAACAAAACTTCACAACCCAAATTTAAGTATATCTACAGTTTAACTTAAAACAAGGCATCAACATTAAATAAAGGACCAAACTTTAAATGAAATTAAAACAAAGTTAACATGCGACAAACACTCCACAAAATTCAAGATAACCCATTAAGAGTATCAAAAGATGCTGTGTTAAAGTCACATCCAGAACACAGCAGTGGAAATAAAACTGTATATTTAACTTGTTAGATGTCTTCTACCTCCTCACCAAAAATTAAATTTACAATGCTTTGTATTTATTCCAGACTACTGAAATACAGTATAACAGCATAACATGTGTTCTATTTTTACTGTTCTATTAATAGTTTAGTTGTTAATCTATCAAACAGCTTAAAAAAACCCAAAAAACTACAGAATATGAGTTTAAACTCCAGTTACTAAGTATAACATGAACGACTATAAATGGTGACACATTAAAGATACGTCCTTTAGCGGTATTCTTTATATATTTATATAATCCCCTCCAAATTAACAATGGCTGGATAATAACCATAGACAAAAGGGTTAATTCAGTAGGATCTTTTAAAGTAACAAGTTATCAGTAACAAATGTGTTACTTTTCATAACACCACACATCTAAAACATGTAGACTAGGCCAACTTTTAGGATCAAAGCAGAGTATTAAATTTTCTTACATTAAATATGATGCATTAAACAGCATAAATCAAAATAGCTTAATCATGCATCAGGCTAACCATTGGCCACTATAATGCATTTACTGCTTACATGCTTTTAACCCTTTAGAACCATAGGAGTTTGGGGTACTTTTTTTTAGTATGAATTCAAATTTTCAAATACCATTTGACTTATATAGCATTAATTTTGCTTTAAAAAATTACACAGTATATTTTTGGAAAAATATTCAGTTTTTAAGTGGGGTCCAAAGGGTTAACTTATAAAGCCATTTTAACAATTTTAAACTGCAACTTCCTGCGTACTTGTGCTGTGCTAGGAAACAGAGCTTTAGAAGATGCAGACAGACTTTCTGAATTGGATGAAGCTGTACTTGAGCTTGTGACAGGTGTCCCCATCTGTAGCATAAAAGAAAGGAAACAATGAAAAGTCTCCAAACAAATGGGTCAAAATAAGCCATGTGGTAGACTTTTTAGATTGCATTTTTGTAAATGCAAAATTGAATGCAATCAAATCTCACTTATTTTAAAAGGCAGGCAGTTAATGCATTTACAATAAACAATATTAAAATATGCGCCTAAAAAAATTTAATTTTATACCAATAAAACCTAGTTAACTAGTTTATTTTCTAAAACTACTGTGTTTTGCATTATTTCAAGAATACCCAAAACTGAGAATAGCGATGTATAAATACTGACACTTCAATCCAATTCTGTATCAATGATTCTCTACAAAAGATTTTTGTCCAAAGTTTTACATCTCTCAATACATAAAATTCCCACCCACCATAAAAGCTGATTAATGTACTTAATAAAAGGCACTTAAAGAAAATGCTTTTAATTTAGCGCTCACAAACAGAAAACAACTTTTAAAAAATCTAAGAGATAATCTAAAAAATAAAATGAAAAAACATACATCCTGATCTAAAGTGTAAATAAATTAAATCTTAATCTGCTTATTTCTCAATGAATCGAGGAAAAAAGCCAAGGTTTTAACGATTTACGTGCACACCATAACAGAAGCATCTTTCACTTATGCTTTGGAAAAAGTTTTCTTTGAAAAAAGACCAATAAGAAATACAAGTGTGACTAGGTCAAAAGCCATTAAATGACACCATTTTAGCACAAGGGCAGCACTGTAGCTCATCACTGTTCCATACTAGAGGCAGAGCCTGACATGATTTGCTATAGTCTTAGGGATGTTCATCTTTGGCTTTGGTCTCATTCCATTCATAGTTCAGTCAGTAAAGGAAGACCTCTAAACACCCCAGATACTAGTTTAAAAAAAAAAAAAAAAAAAAAAAAAAAAAAAAAAAAAAAAAAAAAAAAAAAAAAAAAAAAAAAAAAAAAAAAAAAGCTAAGAATATATACAGTTCACAAATATGAAAAAGTAACATACTAACTTTGGCTTCATTCAACCTTTTATGAGTAGAGGAAATCAATGTATAAACATGGAAGTGGATAAGCCATCTTTTAGTATATTTAGTAAATTATATTAAAAATATTAGACAAAAAAAAAAATTGACCTTTGAGAATTTCAAAGCATTCTGTAAACAACTGTACTTTATCTTTAAATATAAGTGCACTCCTTTTTAGGATTTTCACCTTACCTGTCCAGCACTGGGGAAAAGAGGCTTAGTAACTGGAGGCTGTGGAGCAGGTACAGTTACTGTTGGTGCAGGTGGTCTATTAAGAATACCTGGAGCTGAAACAGCCTGCGCTTGGGTCATTGGGGGAATTCCAGGACGTGGAACAGGCGGGGGCATACCTGCAGACAAGAAATGTTTGGGGAGACTAAGTCACTGAAAAATTTAGTGTAGGAAAACACACTTACTTCTACACTACAAAGTTATTAACAATTAACTGTTCAACACCTCAATTAAGTCCAAGGAACTTAGGCATTTGCCCCATGCAACATTCTTGCCTCAAATTTTCCCTCTATACTGCTTCAGAATTTTACAAAGTGGAAGGTAACACTAGACCCTAATGCATGGGCGAAACATTTGGCAATTACACTTACTGGTCCTACTGATTTAGCCAACTTCTTGCAATATATAAAATAATTATTTCAATCAACTACCAGATCAGGAGTTCAAGACCAGCCTGGCCAACATGGTGAAAACCCATCTCTACTAAAAATACAAATATTAGCTAGGCATGGTGGTGGGCACCCGTACCCCAGCTACTCAGGAGGTTGAGGGAGGAGAATCATTTGAACCCAGGAGGCAGATTGCCATGAGCTGAGATTGTGCCACTGTGCTCCAGCCTGGGCAACAGAGACTGGGCAAGTGAGACTCCATCTCAAAAAAAAAAAATGTGTAAGGCCAGGCGCAGTGGCTCATGTCTGTAATCCAAGCACTTTGGGAGGCCGAGGCAAGTGGATCAAGAGCTCAAGAAATCGAGACCATCCTGGCCATGGTGAAACCCCGTCTCTACCAAAAATACAAAAATTAGCTGGGTGTAGTGGCACGTGCCTGTGGTCCCAGCTACTCAGGAGGCTGAGGTGGAAGAATTGCTTGAACCCACATGGTGAAACCCCGTCTCTACCAA